ATATATATATTTATATATATATATATATATATAAATATATATATATATATATATATATATATATATATATATATATATATATATATATATATATATATATATATATATATATATATATATATATATATATATATATATATATATATATATATATATATATATATATATATATATATATATATATATATATATATATATATATATATATATATATATATATATATATATATATATACACACAAAACAAAACAAAACTTTATAACTTTACTCTGTGCTAATACTAATAATTGTGGGTTGAGGAGCTGCTGATTGCATCAGGATCAGTAAAATAATCATAATAACAGCAGCAAACAATTTTCGATAACAAAAAAAAAAAAAGAGTTGCTCAAAAGTTGCAACATGCCTCAAAAATAAAATCTGATTCAGTATTTCGTTATACCAGAGTAACATTTCTTGAATTAAAAAAAAAACATTTAGACACAAATCTCTCAGCCATACAGATTCCTATTTGAATGATTTGATTTTACCTTAAAAAATTTACTGAGCAGCAGTGAAGGAAAAGATTAGATGGTCTTTAAACTCTGTATGATCTGATCAGTGCTATCCCTCATATGACAGGAGGAGAGACCTCCATCTCCCGAGATTGAGTTTGATGATCTTGAGGAGTTTGTTCTTCAACCTGCACCTCAGGGAACCACCATTAAGTGTAAAGTGACGCGAGACAAGCGTGGGATGGACAGAGGCTTCTACCCCACTTATTACCTCCATTTAGACAATGACAAGAAGGTAACTGAGGTCAAAGTACAAGTGGCATACACATATTTCAAAATAAAGAAAACAATCACAAATTGATGACTCTTTCCCGTTTGTTCTTATTCTGCAGGTTTTCCTATTGGCTGGTCGAAAAAGAAAAAAGAGTGCGACATCGAATTATTTGATTTCCATAGATGCCACTGATCTATCACGGGGTGGAGATAACTTTATCGGAAAGTTGAGGTAACTTGCTTCCAGAGCTGGGTTGAGGGAAGTTACTCATTTATAAATTACGTAACAAAATGTGTAGTCAGCAATTTTATTTTTTAGGGGTTTTCACCTTTATTGATAGGACAGTGGAGTTATAGATACAGGAAAGTGTGGGGAGCAGAGATAGGGGAAGAATCAGCAAATGACCTCAAGACGGGAATCGAACTCGGGTCGCTGCGAGCACCTCTGTGCCATGTGTCAACGCACTAACCACTAGGCTATTGGCGCCGACTGTAGTCAGCATTAGGCTCACATTCAGATTACATTTTGGCATAACTGCCAAATCTTTGTCTTAAATGACCCATATATAAATTTAAATCTTTGGCCCCCCTTTGCCATTGCAAACTTAAGGCTCACATTAATTTTGTCTGGGCTGAAGGAATACCACCAGTGCAGCATAACTGCCTAAAGTGGCCCGCATTCGTATGCTATCTGGATGAGCAACCAAACTTTCTTTTTTGTTTCTTCCAGATCCAATCTCATGGGTACAAAATTCACAGTGTTTGACAATGGCCTCAACCCTGATCGTGCCCTCAGAGACATGTCTAACGCCCGGCAGGAGCTGGTGGCTATCATTTATGTGAGTGCTTACTTCTACTGCGCAACAGTTAACGTGGAGGTAAACTGACAATCTGTTTCACAGAAGATGCTTGTGTTTGTGTGCAGGAGACAAATGTGTTGGGGTTTAAAGGGCCCAGAAAAATGTCAGTGGTCATCCCGGGCATGGATGATGAAAATGAGCGAGTGCCGATACGTCCACGTACTGTGAGTTACCGTTATATATTTGAATTCTGATATGTAACAGAAAGTTGATTACAACCCATTTTCAGTTGAAACTACTAACTACAAACCCAATCAGAAAAAGTTTCAACAGTATGGAAAACACAATTAAAACAGAAGGTACATTTGGACATTTCACAGTCAACAGTGCATAACATAATTAAAAGATTCAGGAAATATGGGGGAATTATTTTATAATTATTTAATTATAATTAGATATCATTTTTAGCATCAGTTGAACTTTCCCTTTAAAGCCATTGATAAAACGTTTATAATAATATGTACCTATAAAATCTTTAATAATCAGGATGGTATGAAACTTGACTTTTGATAAAAAAAGAAAAAACATATTAAAAGTAAGGAGCTTACCATTTTTTATTTATTTATTTATTTATTTTACTTTTAGGAGAACGACAGTATACTTGTGCGCTACCAAAACAGACAGATGGACAACCTGATAGAACTCCACAACAAAACACCAGTTTGGAATGACGACACGGCTTCATATGTGCTCAACTTCTCCGGTCGAGTCACGCAGGCCTCAGTCAAGAACTTCCAGATTGTTCACAGCAAAGACAGTGAGTGATACGGCTTATATTCTTATGGCACGTTTCCACTGAGTGGTACGGTACGGTTAAGTTCGGTACGCTTTTATCACCGTTTCCACTGTCAAAAGGCCCCCCTTTGCCATTGTATGAGTGGGCCACTTTAGGCTCACATTCATTTTGTCTATGCTGAAGCAATACCACCAGTGTCGCATAACTGCCTAAAGTGGCCCACATTCGTATGCTATCTGGGAACGTTTATAGTGTCATTGATGTTGCGTGTTGTCTTTTTTGTGTGTTGTGACAATGAAGATAATAAGGCAAACTCTCTCTTTTTCAGACAGCTACATCGTGATGCAGTTCGGGAGAGTGGCAGATGACATGTTCACTCTGGACTATAATTACCCCATGTGTGCGGTGCAGGCGTTTGCTATTGCTCTGTCCAGCTTTGATGGCAAATTGGCCTGTGAATGAACACAAGATACAATATTTACGAACTGGAGTTTCTATGTAACAAGGAAATTTTGATGATGTGGGACATTTTTGGGGAGGTTCACTGTGCCTGAATGTGATGAACATAGGCATTGCACATGCACACATGTGCTGCATAGATGTGGTAAACGCAGGTTACATAAAATGAATGTTTGACTTTATCTTGGGTTGTATTGAGATTTATGTGTTCAGGTTTTCTTTTTTTTACATCAAAAGTAAATGATTAGTGCGCAATATGTTTCGATTGTCAAACATATGACAATGTTCTGTGGTGTGAAATATATGATAACATACATGAGTGTGCATTTAAGTTATTTAAAAAAATGCAAATGCCTTTCTGTATATTCTTCTGGTTTGTTATGATGTTTTTTTGACCACGCATTTTAAAAAAAAAATCAAGGAAATTTTTTTTTTTTCGGTCACACTTTACAATAAGGTTCATTAGTTAATATTACAGTTTTTCTCAGTCGCTTTGGTGCATTTCTCACTACACTATTTACATTTGCACGACAGGTCATGCATTTCTCAAAACAATTAGTCATTTTTTGCCCATCCTAGAAGCAGTTTCTCATTCCTTTCAGCAAATTGCAAATGCTTTCGGACATGCATCAATTGCTTTCATACAACTCTCTGCTGTTTATAACATTATCATCTGCTTATGTCCTGTCAGTCAAAATGAACTAAACTTGTAAATGCCGAATAGTCATTCCATATAAAACTAATAGTGTTTATTTCATTACTTGAGTCATTATATACAAAAATGTTGAAGTAGTTGTCAAAATCTTGCAAGCTAATTTTATAAAAAAATGTTTAAATCTTTATTTTACTGAAAATGTCTTCTAAATTAAACAGTTTCATGAATGATTTACAGTTTTTCTCGATTGCTTGGATGTAGTTGTCAACTGAAACTCCACATTTTCAAAACAGTTAACACACAGGCCTAAACAGCGGCACTCATGGTCAAAATGACACATTTTGCTTGCAAAAGGCACATATCGTGTCAAAACATTTAAAATATGCAACAAAAGCTAGTTTTACCTTCAAACAACACAACTTGCAAACAAGTGTATGAGCTCTTTCAATTAATCATTACACAATGGACAACAAAATACAAAATACAGAACTCAGTGCACCACCATTGCTTGTCATTGTAGCCTATTGCCAATGCCGTTTGTTGTCTTTCTATTTGGGCTGTCAAATTTGCCTTTTTGCAAAGAATTGAATCCAGAATAAGAAATGCTTTGATTACATTTACATTGAATTCATGACAATTTTCAAACAGTGGCTGAAAACTGAAATACTGTAAAAACAGTCAAAAGTAATAAAATACTGTAAATATTAGAGAAACACATGTAAACCAATATACAGTCAAACCTATTGGGAGTATAAGACATAGCCACTATTGACCTCCTCCATCCATGCTGTCACAGAACAACACAGAGCTTCCACCGTTTTATAAGGTTTGCAGACTGATTGCTTATTGAAGATTTGTGTAAAGGAGTGTCAAACTGGTGCTTCACTGAATTCATATTGATGTTGGTAGTTTCTAATAGTTAGGAATAGATGGTTTCTGTTTGGTTACCATAACTAAAACAATGGAGTTTGGACTGTTTGAATGACATCCGTGTTAGCTGTTTTGAAAAATGGTGGGGAAAATGTGTCAACCCAATGAGAAAGAGTTTACACATTTGCAAGACCGGTCTTTTGCTCTGCTGGGATAGTGAAAAGGAAAATGAAGTGGAACCTAGTTTCTTTAACCAGGTCAAAGCAAACAAGAAAAACTGTAAAGACCTGTGTATGTATGTTGGTTGAGTTCCAATATGTACTGCAATATTGTTTACAGTTGTGCACAGTTCAACCCAAAGAAAGTTTATATTTGTTGTAAATAAGGGAGTATTTATTCTTCTGCACAATGCAGTGAAAAAATTCTAATTGTAAAGAGCAAATGCAGGGAAAATGTGAAACATACATATTCAGTGTTTTGTACTAGATACACTCACTAAATGCAGTGATGTCCAACTTTACTGTAGTTTTCAAATGGCTGTGCAAATAGTATATAGTACTATCTTGAGCATTTTCACAAAGTTTTTCCAAAATCTGACTTTTGCATTGAAAAAAAATGTACAGATTAAACTGTCATAAAACATGAAAACATGACAAAGCCATTTGACTATCTTGTTCATAAACAATGGTGTCAGGACTTTTCATTTTGATGACACTGACTCTTTGATTGACATCAATACTTGCTTTTGAGGAATGAACTATCCATTTTGAGCATGTGACGCGCTTTTGTAGGTTATCAGCTTGGTTTTGCAGTTTGTACTAATTGTTTCGAGAAATGAATTAACTGTTGTGCAGAAATGCACTGGTGTTTTGAGAAACACACCAAGGGGACTGAGAAAAACTGTAAGTAATGCATTTACTAACATAAACAAACAATGAACAATACATTACTACAGTATTTATTCATGTTAATAAACGTTAGTTAATGAAAATACAGTAGTTCATTGTTAGTTCATGTTAACTCATGGTGCATTAACTAATGTTAACAAGCATGGACTTAAATGTTAATAATGCATTAGTAAATGCTCAATTATGATTGATAAATGCTGTACATGTGTTGTTCATGATTAGTTCATGTTAGTAAATGCATTAACTAATGAACCTTGTTGTAAAGTGTTACCATTTTTTCTTCATGAAAACAACACGAATGCATAAAAGATCTTATGACACATTGTGATGCTGTAAAACATGGCTTAATGCAAGCGTTATTCTTTTCTCACTTATTTAAAATGATCAGAAATATATAAATTATTCAAAAATAATTTATATGTGTACTATTTTTTGGTTACGACCTATTTTACAGTACCATTTCCTCTGCTAACCATGAACTTTTTCTTTGATTCATTTCTATGATGAATTGGTGAAGTTGTCCTTGGGGTGGTGCTGTTTCAACAAGGCTTCATAAATTGAATGCACCACCTGTATGAATGTGTTCTAAACTATTCATCTTCAGAATTAATATTGAAATAAAAAGTTAAAACGACACATTTTTTTCAGTCTAAATTCTGTAANAAAAAAAAAAAAAAAAAAAAAAAAAAATATATATATATATATATATATATATATATATATATATATATATATATATATATATATATATATATATATATATANATATATATATATATATATATATATATATATATATATATATATATATATATATATATATATATATATATATATATATATATATATATATATATATATATATATATATATATATATATAATATAAATATA